CTATACTTACAGTAGTATCATGCTATACTTACTGGATATCATGTTATACTTACAGTGTATCATGCTATACTTACAGGATATCATGTTATACTTACTGGATATCATGCTACACTTACAGTGTATTATGCTATACTTACAAGATATCATACTATACTTACTAGATATCATGTTATACTTACAGGATATCATACTATACTTACAGTGTATCATGCTATACTTATTGGATATCATGTTATACTTACAGGATATCATGTCATACTTACTGGAATCATGCTATCTTACAGTGTATCATGCTATACTTATAGGATATCATGCAATACTTACATGATATCATGTTATACTTACAGTATATCATACTATACTTACTGGTATCATGCTATACTTACAGTATATCATGATATACTTACAGGATATCATGCTATACTTACAGTGTATCATACTATACTTATAAGATATCATGCTATACTTACTGGATATCATGCTATACTTACAGTATATCATGCTATACTTACAACGTATCATGCTATACTTACATAATTTGCATGAGTTAAGCTACGTTCCGCACGCTGCACTTTTCAAATCATTGGCATTAAAATACACGAGCCTTTGAGTTTTCAGCTTACAAGACAAAAACACGAGCCTTGGAATTAAAATATTTCAACCCTCATCAACCATCATATAATAGCACCAAGAACATAACACTATTGAGAACATAACTTTCATAATAGCAACACTCATCAACCAGCACATAATAGCACCAAGCACATATCACAAGCACATAACATTATTGAGCACATAACACTATTGAGAATAACTTTCATTATCTACTTTCAGTCTAACAAGTTGGGAACAATACTTTACAAATCAAACTCCAAACATATATTTATGCACACAAAATAGCACTCAAAAGTCTTTCAGATTATCTACTTCCATAGCACTTACAAACTCGAAACATATATTTATACACCACAAAAAATTTGCATATCACAGTTGGCATCTAGCATCCGGAGAACTTAGCTTGATGATCACGTTTATATCCTAAAATCAAAGAGACGCTGATCAAAACAATAGTATGTTATCCCGTTAATGAAACAAGACACTCTGTGGGTGTATTGGCTTCATGATGTGTGCCTAAAAAACCAGAATATATGGGAGATTTAGAAAAGGCAAAGACAATCATGGACCTTTAGGAGTGTGCGAGATGAATTTAAGGAGGAGGTTCAGCAAAATGGTGATAATTGCTTGTGGCAGGATGAAATTGCCAACCATTTATTTTTTAAAAGTCAGTTCAGTAGAGAAGTGTGGAGTAGAGTTAGAGATTGTTTACAAGTTCGCACTACTCATCAAAATTGACCCGAAGTCCCGCACTGGTTTGAGAAAAAATGTTCTAGAAATGAGATAAACAACGGACGTAAAAGCAGGCTTTGCAACAGCTGTGTATAGTATATGGAGAACTAGAAACAAACTGATCTTTAAGCAGATACAACCACATATTAAAATGTAAAAGAGTCAGCTTTTCTATAAGTTGGAGATTAGGCTTAATTCTGTACAGAGGATGAAAGAAACCATAGAAAATAGAAGGTTGTATTTTCATGTGAATAGAAGAGTATACCTCCACGGACTGGGACGACAACAACAACTGGGATTGCGACGGGTGACGGGTAGTGACGAGGTCAACAACAACGACGACTGGGACAGCGGCAGACGACGAGCGACAACGATAGAGTCAAAAGAAACAAGATAAAAATCCAACTAAAGTTCCCAACACAAGAGCTTAGACGGACGACAGGCGATGGTGAGGTCGACGACAACGACGACTGTGATGGCGGTTGGCGACGGGCGACAGCGATGGCGACGGGAGACGACAACGGCAACAGTCACGAGAAAAGGGATTTTCAGTTTTTCAATTAGGATTGAGAGTTGAAAAGGGGGAAAATGAGGAGAGAGAGAGAGATACTGGTTTATACGGGGCTAATGAAAGGGGTATTTTGGGGTTTTTATCATGTTTCTGTATAAATACAAGTGCTTTAAGTATTGTGTTTTAAAAATTGGGTTTAAAGACAAATACAAAAAGAGAATTGGGTTTAAAGATACAAGTAATAATGATTCAGTTTATAGGTAAAGTTGAGTAAACAAATGAACTTAGAAATAAAAACCCCTTTTTAAAAACTTTTCCAGTCTTTGAACTTTGCCCTATAACTGTGAAAGCTTTATAGTAGCTTGTTGAACTTTAACTACAACTGTGGCCAACATAGGAATCCTCCAACTTCTCCCAACCTTACCCAATTTGTGATGGGAGGCCTTGATATACTTCCACATACTGACTTCTTGATGCCAGTAAGTTCATAGTAGCATAACTGCACATAAGAGAAATATAAAATTAACAACCAATTTGAAACCTTAATAACAAATATGTAATCTTAACCAAAAATACATAATCTTAACACCCAATCTGTAAGCATAACAACTAAAATACCCACAACCTTAACAACCAACCTGTAACGTTAATAACCAATCAACAAACTTAATAACCAATCAATCAATCTGTAACATTAACAACAAGCTCGTGATCTTAACAACCGATTTATAACCATAACAACAAATTTTAAACCTTAACAACCAATTTGTAAGCTTAACAACTAACCTCTATCTGCAACCGTAACAATCAACTCTGTAACATTAATAACCAATCTGAAACCTTAACAGCTAATTTGTATGCATAATAACTAATCCCTATCCCTAACAACTAACAACTATACTTAAGAACTAATCCCTAACCTTCACAATCAAGAATGTATAAAATTTAGTCATTGCTCTAAACAATAAAATAGGAATACTTACTGAAACAAGCTTGGCACACCATTGTAGATATATAATCTTCTTTCCTGCTTCAGAACCCCTCAATGCCTTTTGAAATACATAATTTGTCTCACTAAAAATAAAGCTCCACCAAATAGTGTTCTTTACTTGTTTGATGTTGTCAACATATTTGAACAAATGTCTTAGTGTGCCAAGAACACTGCTAGGACATCGAATCATGCTCAACTGATACAGGATCTGAAGTAGGACAAAGTCCTTTACATCATCACGGTCACTTGATCGTACAAGCTTCGTGAATAAATCCTCAACATAGTATCTGGTAGGTGCTAGAGAAGCCTGTCATGCTCATTTTTGGAAAAAGAAAACTTTTTTCAAATACGATTGTTTCGATCACTGTTGGGGATTAGTTATTATGTATCAATGAAGATAAATTTTATCCTATTCTCGTCCCACTGTCTCAACACGTGCTCGAAAGTGAGAAGATCAAGCCCAGGAGGGCCAAAATGTGTCTGAAAACACTTTGTAGGCATCCCAATGCCTCTCACCCATAAGTTGCACTAAAGAATGCATGAAATCATAGTAAATAGTGAAGCTGGGTGTTGGTTGCAACTCCGATACAGCCTTTTGTCTACAAAGCAAAATAACAAAACATACTTAGTTTGTAAATAATATGTAACCTTAACAACTATGCTGTAAACTTGACAAATAATCCTATTCTCGTCCCGCTGTCTCAACACGTGCTCGAAAGTGACAAGATCAAGACCAGGAGGGCCAAAATGTGTCTGAAAACACTTCGTAGGCATCCCAATGCCTCTCACCCATAAGTTGCACTAAAGAATGCATGAAATCATAGTAAACAGTGAAGCTGGATGTTGGCTGCAACTCCGATACAGCCTTTTGTCTACAAAGCAAAATAACAAAACATACTTAGTTTGTAAATAATATGTAACCTTAACAACTATGCTGTAAACTTGACAAATAAACTATAACCTTAATAGCAAATCTGTAAGCTTAATAACCACTCAATAACCTCAACAACCAATCAATAGCCATAACAATAAAAGCATAAACTTAACAACTAACATGTCACAAGTTAACAGTAACCTTAACAACTAATCGCCACATGTTAGCAGTAATCTTAACAACTAATAGCAACACGTTAACAACAACCATCATATCAGATTCATAACCTTAACAACTAACACCTAACTTTAACAACTAACACCCACACATTAACAGTAATCTTAACAACTAACAACCACAAGTTAATAGTAACCTTAACAACTAATAGCCACATGTTAACAGTAACATTCATAGCAGATTCGTAAACTTAACAAATAATGCTTAGCCGTAACAACTAATGAATATCCTTGACAACTAAAAGCTAATCTTCACAACTTAACTGTTACATTCACAATTAACACACACCATGCAATATCATAAATAACTAAATTATGTAGTAAACTTACCTCTTTTTGGTTGTCAAACATATCTCTTTCAAATGGCTCATATTCGTTCCTCTCCTTAGATCTAGGAACACTCACGAGGCACCGTCGGTGCTGCCCTCAAGATCTATGCGTTGAACTAGGTTTGTGGGTTGAACTGAACTTGTGGGAGAAGGATGACTAACTCCGATGTCCTCTAGAATATCTGCTATAGTAGTAGCAGGACCAGTCGCCTCTGTGCTCGGACATCTTCCTGCGACGCCGAACTATGACACGTCGTCGTCTTTGATGATATCTACATGGGCGAATACTTTGGGAGTTGACTTGTCTGCCATGATTCCGCACAGAGGTTAGGATGAGTTGATTTAGGTTGGATTCCGCTCTGGGGTGGGTTGATTTAGGGTTAGGATTTCGAATTGGGGATAGTCGGTTTGTTTGGACAAAAGAGAAAGGTTGGGACGCTCGACGAGAAGAGGGTTTGAGAAAGTGAGAGGCTGTTAAATCAAAGGGCATTTTTTAGAATTTTTTTTTTAAAAACTGGGTCACGTGGGAACGAGGTTTGGAGGCTAAATGAAATGTAAGATTTATTTTGGGGGCTTTGAGGGAGTGTATCTAGACTGATTTGAAGTCAAAAATTCAACGCTAAAGTTGGGGCCATCAGTGACCAATTATTTGATGGATCATTACTTCAAATTGAAGGCTTTCTGTATGACAACTGACAGATCCTAACAATATCTAAACAGAAAGTAAGAGTTCCATCATTTACCGTTCATTACCATCAACTCCATTCCAATGGCACTTCCGTCGCCATTTTTTGCAGCGTTTACAGCAATATTGATCCTCCTCTTATCTCAAAAGGCCAGCTGCTTGTTATCCTCAAAACACAACAATGTCACCGATCAACAGTCACTTCTGTCCTTCAAGTCCATGATATCGGGCGATCCAACAGGATCGTTAGCCTCGTGGAACAACTCCATCCATTTCTGCAATTGGGTAGGCGTAACTTGCAGCGGCCTCCAACATCCTCAACGGGTCGTGTCCTTGAGCTTGAGCTCCCTTGATCTCTCTGGAGTTATATCGCCGGCGATAGCAAACCTCACATTTCTCAGAACGATTAACCTCTCCCACAACAAACTCCGCGGACCCATCCCGGGAGGAATCGGTAACCTCCACCGCCTCCGGGTTCTTAACGTGAGCCTAAATTCTCTTGAACGAGGTATTCCTGATTCGTTGGGCGGCCTTACTTCTTTGACCAAACTCTACTTGTTCAACAACAGCCTAAGCGACAATATCCCTTCTACAATGGGGAACCTCGCCTCTTTATCTCTACTGTTCTTGCACAATAACAAATTCACTGGCAGCATCCCACCTTCATTAGGAAGGATCTCGTCTCTCTCCGTTCTTGCTCTGACCAACAATCTTCTCAACGGCAGTATTCCGTCTACTATAGGGGACCTTACTTCCCTAACTTCGCTTTACCTTTCAGGCAACCGTCTGAGTGGCTTGGTCCCTTCTTCGTTGGCGAAGCTCTCGTCTCTTTCCGTGCTTGATTTGTCCAATAATGAACTCAGTGGCAGCATACCGTCTTCCATCGGGGGCCTTGCCTCCCTGACTTCACTGAAAGACAAATACAAAAAGAGAATTGGGTTTAAAGATACAAGTAATAATGATTCAGTTTATAGGTAAAGTTGAGTAAACAAATGAACTTAGAAATAAAAACCCCTTTTTAAAAACTTTTCCAGTCTTTGAACTTTGCCCTATAACTGTGAAAGCTTTATAGTAGCTTGTTGAACTTTAACTACAACTGTGGCCAACATAGGAATCCTCCAACTTCTCCCAACCTTACCCAATTTGTGATGGGAGGCCTTGATATACTTCCACATACTGACTTCTTGATGCCAGTAAGTTCATAGTAGCATAACTGCACATAAGAGAAATATAAAATTAACAACCAATTTGAAACCTTAATAACAAATATGTAATCTTAACCAAAAATACATAATCTTAACACCCAATCTGTAAGCATAACAACTAAAATACCCACAACCTTAACAACCAACCTGTAACGTTAATAACCAATCAACAAACTTAATAACCAATCAATCAATCTGTAACATTAACAACAAGCTCGTGATCTTAACAACCGATTTATAACCATAACAACAAATTTTAAACCTTAACAACCAATTTGTAAGCTTAACAACTAACCTCTATCTGCAACCGTAACAATCAACTCTGTAACATTAATAACCAATCTGAAACCTTAACAGCTAATTTGTATGCATAATAACTAATCCCTATCCCTAACAACTAACAACTATACTTAAGAACTAATCCCTAACCTTCACAATCAAGAATGTATAAAATTTAGTCATTGCTCTAAACAATAAAATAGGAATACTTACTGAAACAAGCTTGGCACACCATTGTAGATATATAATCTTCTTTCCTGCTTCAGAACCCCTCAATGCCTTTTGAAATACATAATTTGTCTCACTAAAAATAAAGCTCCACCAAATAGTGTTCTTTACTTGTTTGATGTTGTCAACATATTTGAACAAATGTCTTAGTGTGCCAAGAACACTGCTAGGACATCGAATCATGCTCAACTGATACAGGATCTGAAGTAGGACAAAGTCCTTTACATCATCACGGTCACTTGATCGTACAAGCTTCGTGAATAAATCCTCAACATAGTATCTGGTAGGTGCTAGAGAAGCCTGTCATGCTCATTTTTGGAAAAAGAAAACTTTTTTCAAATACGATTGTTTCGATCACTGTTGGGGATTAGTTATTATGTATCAATGAAGATAAATTTTATCCTATTCTCGTCCCACTGTCTCAACACGTGCTCGAAAGTGAGAAGATCAAGCCCAGGAGGGCCAAAATGTGTCTGAAAACACTTTGTAGGCATCCCAATGCCTCTCACCCATAAGTTGCACTAAAGAATGCATGAAATCATAGTAAATAGTGAAGCTGGGTGTTGGTTGCAACTCCGATACAGCCTTTTGTCTACAAAGCAAAATAACAAAACATACTTAGTTTGTAAATAATATGTAACCTTAACAACTATGCTGTAAACTTGACAAATAATCCTATTCTCGTCCCGCTGTCTCAACACGTGCTCGAAAGTGACAAGATCAAGACCAGGAGGGCCAAAATGTGTCTGAAAACACTATCTTTGTAGGCATCCCAATGCCTCTCTCCCATAAGTTGCACTAAAGAATGCATGAAATCATAGTAAACAGTGAAGCTGGATGTTGGCTGCAACTCCGATACAGCCTTTTGTCTACAAAGCAAAATAACAAAACATACTTAGTTTGTAAATAATATGTAACCTTAACAACTATGCTGTAAACTTGACAAATAAACTATAACCTTAATAGCAAATCTGTAAGCTTAATAACCACTCAATAACCTCAACAACCAATCAATAGCCATAACAATAAAAGCATAAACTTAACAACTAACATGTCACAAGTTAACAGTAACCTTAACAACTAATCGCCACATGTTAGCAGTAATCTTAACAACTAATAGCAACACGTTAACAACAACCATCATATCAGATTCATAACCTTAACAACTAACACCTAACTTTAACAACTAACACCCACACATTAACATTAATCTTAATAACTAAAACCCACAAGTTAACAGTAATCTTAACAACTAACAGCCACACGTTAATAGTAACATTCATAGCATATTCGTGAACTTAACAAATAATGCTTAGCCGTAACAACTAATGAATATCCTTGACAACTAAAAGCTAATCTTCACAACTTAACTGTTACATTCACAATTAACACACACCATGCAATATCATAAATAACTAAATTATGTAGTAAACTTACCTCTTTTTGGTTGTCAAACATATCTCTTTCAAATGGCTCATATTCGTTCCTCTCCTTAGATCTAGGAACACTCACGAGGCACCGTCGGTGCTGCCCTCAAGATCTATGCGTTGAACTAGGTTTGTGGGTTGAACTGAACTTGTGGGAGAAGGATGACTAACTCCGATGTCCTCTAGAATATCTGCTATAGTAGTAGCAGGACCAGTCGCCTCTGTGCTCGGACATCTTCCTGCGACGCCGAACTATGACACGTCGTCGTCTTTGATGATATCTACATGGGCGAATACTTTGGGAGTTGACTTGTCTGCCATGATTCCGCACAGAGGTTAGGATGAGTTGATTTAGGTTGGATTCCGCTCTGGGGTGGGTTGATTTAGGGTTAGGATTTCGAATTGGGGATAGTCGGTTTGTTTGGACAAAAGAGAAAGGTTGGGACGCTCGACGAGAAGAGGGTTTGAGAAAGTGAGAGGCTGTTAAATCAAAGGGCATTTTTTAGAATTTTTTTTTTAAAAACTGGGTCACGTGGGAACGAGGTTTGGAGGCTAAATGAAATGTTAGATTTATTTTGGGGGCTTTGAGGGAGAGTATCTAGACTGATTTGAAGTCAAAAATTCAACGCTAAAGTTGGGGCCATCAGTGACCAATTATTTGATGGATCATTACTTCAAATTGAAGGCTTTCTGTATGACAACTGACAGATCCTAACAATATCTAAACAGAAAGTAAGAGTTCCATCATTTACCGTTCATTACCATCAACTCCATTCCAATGGCACTTCCGTCGCCATTTTTTGCAGCGTTTACAGCAATATTGATCCTCCTCTTATCTCAAAAGGCCAGCTGCTTGTTATCCTCAAAACACAACAATGTCACCGATCAACAGTCACTTCTGTCCTTCAAGTCCATGATATCGGGCGATCCAACAGGATCGTTAGCCTCGTGGAACAACTCCATCCATTTCTGCAATTGGGTAGGCGTAACTTGCAGCGGCCTCCAACATCCTCAACGGGTCGTGTCCTTGAGCTTGAGCTCCCTTGATCTCTCTGGAGTTATATCGCCGGCGATAGCAAACCTCACATTTCTCAGAACGATTAACCTCTCCCACAACAAACTCCGCGGACCCATCCCGGGAGGAATCGGTAACCTCCACCGCCTCCGGGTTCTTAACGTGAGCCTAAATTCTCTTGAACGAGGTATTCCTGATTCGTTGGGCGGCCTTACTTCTTTGACCAAACTCTACTTGTTCAACAACAGCCTAAGCGACAATATCCCTTCTACAATGGGGAACCTCGCCTCTTTATCTCTACTGTTCTTGCACAATAACAAATTCACTGGCAGCATCCCACCTTCATTAGGAAGGATCTCGTCTCTCTCCGTTCTTGCTCTGACCAACAATCTTCTCAACGGCAGTATTCCGTCTACTATAGGGGACCTTACTTCCCTAACTTCGCTTTACCTTTCAGGCAACCGTCTGAGTGGCTTGGTCCCTTCTTCGTTGGCGAAGCTCTCGTCTCTTTCCGTGCTTGATTTGTCCAATAATGAACTCAGTGGCAGCATACCGTCTTCCATCGGGGGCCTTGCCTCCCTGACTTCACTGAACCTTGATGGAAATGGACTCGGCGGCAGCATCCCATCTTCACTGGGAAATCTCTCGCATCTCTCTCTTCTTTCTCTGTCCTATAACCTTCTGACTGGTAGCATACCGGCTACGATCGGAAACCTCACTTCTTTAACTCAGCTTTACTTAGGCAACAACAGCCTAAGCGGCAGCATTCCACCTTCACTTGCAAACCTCTCATCTCTTTCTTATCTTGATCTTTCCAATAACGAGCTCACTGGCGGCGTCCCACCGAACACAGGGAATCTCTTATCTCTTACCGTGCTTGGACTTGACAACAATCGTTTATCAGGAAACATCCCGCCTTCGATTGGCAAACTTTCCAATTTACAACAGCTTTACTTGAATTCGAATAACCTCTCGGGATTAGTCCCTCCTTCACTCTGGAATCTCTCCTCTCTTTCTATCCTATACCTTTCATTTAACTACCACCTATCTGGTTCGCTTCCACCGGATTTAGGCCAGTCTCTTCCCCTCCTCGAATTAATTAGCCTGTCTTGTAACAAATTTTATGGACCAATTCCAGCATCATTGTCCAATGCATCTCTTCTTGAAATAATTGAGCTTCCAGAGAATATGCTTAGCGGTACGATCCCTCCAAACCTCGGGAGCTTACCAAACTTGCGTAACCTAATTCTGCAAGTAAACAACTTGGAAGTTAGGGAACCTGATGGTTGGCGTTTCCTGACGTCTTTGACGAATTGTACCCGATTAGAGAAACTGCGTATTGGCTGGAATAATCTCAGTGGCAGGCTACCGAGTTCTATTGCAAACCTCTCCGCTTCACTTGTAACGCTCAGTATCGGTTATAACAATATATCTGGAAACATACCTCCGGATATTGGAAATCTTGTCAGCTTGACGGAACTTCACACGGGTCCGAATTTGCTCACAGGCTCTATTCCTGCCTCAGTTGGATCACTTAGCAAGTTGCATGAGTTGGTTTTGGACAATAACAAGCTATCCGGAGAGATACCATCCTCCATCGGCAACCTTACTCAATTGAATTTTCTTTACCTAGATTTCAATGAACTGAGCGGAAATATACCGGAAAGTCTTGGGAATTGCCAAAATTTAGTATATCTAAACCTTGGATATAACAAACTTACCGGTGCTATACCAAAAGAAATCCTGAAGATATCCCATCTCTCCATACTTTTAAATTTGTCATCCAATTCATTGACGGGATTAATACCATCAGAAATAGGGAGCTTGAGTAACCTGGGTGTCATCGATGTCAGCATGAACAAATTGTCTGGTGAAATCCCTAGCAGTCTCGGTCAGTGTCAAGTGCTGGAAGAGCTTTATCTTGGTGGGAATTTTCTTCAGGGGAGTATTCCTTCTTCTTTAAGCTCATTAAGGGGTATTCAGGAATTAGATGTTTCGAAAAATAACCTGTCGGGGGAAATACCAAATTTCCTACAGGAGTTGCCTGATCTACTCTATTTGAATCTCTCCTTCAATGATTTTGAAGGTGAAGTACCCAGGCTTGGGGTCTTTGAAAATGTAAGTAAATTCTCAGTTGCTGGAAACAATAGGCTTTGCGGAGTAAACCCAGAAATGCACCTGCAAGCTTGTACCTTCCATTCTTCGAACAAGAAGATTCGCTCCAGTACATTGATAGTGATCATTGTCGTCACCAGTTCATTTCTACTTTTATCTGTGTTCTTTCTTTTCCTCTTTCGACGGTACTGGAACAAAAGCTCAAGAAGAATACCTCATCACAGTATACCCATAATGGAGCAACATGAGAAAGTCTCTTATGCTGAGCTAGTGAAAGCCACAAATGGGTTCTCTGCAGGCAATATAATTGGGATCGGAAGTTTCGGGACGGTATATAAAGGAACATTTGATGATGATAGAAAGAAAATTGTTGCGGTGAAGGTGTTAAATCTTCAAATGCAAGGAGCATCCAAGAGCTATATGGCAGAATGCGAAGCCTTGAGAAACATCCGACATCGAAACCTTGTCAAGATCATTACAACTTGTTCAAGTGTAGATTTCAGAGGTGATGACTTCAAAGCTGTGGTCTTTGAGTTCATGCGCAATGGTAGTTTAGATGATTGGCTGTATCCGAAAGTAATTGAGCAATTCAAACCAAAAAAACTGAACTTCATGGCAAGATTAAACATAGCTATTGATGTGGCTTCTGCTTTAGATTATTTACACCATCAATGTGGGACACCAATAATTCACTGTGATTTGAAACCTAGCAACATTCTTCTCGGCGATCACATGACTGCCCATGTTGGAGATTTTGGGCTGGCAAGGTTTCTGAAGGAAATTATCAGCAGGTCATCTCAGAACTCTATGAGTTCAGTTGGCCTCAGAGGAACTATTGGATATATTGCTCCAGGTGAAAACTTCAAGTTCTTGCTTGTGTTAATATTTACACTTATTAGAAGTCTATAATTTTTCAGAAGGAGAACTATATTCAACATCTCCAGTCTGTTGAAATATGACTATTACAGTAGTTTGGCTTCTGAAAGTTTAAAATCTTGTGACTCCAACTCTCTCCCTACATGCAAACATTATCCAAAACATTAGTTTCTTACTCATTTTTTTTTCAAGTATATGCAATGCTTGTTTAGTCCCTCCAAAGGTTTGCATGTCTATATGCTGATATTATCATAACCAATCTATCATATCTGAATGCTTTAATTAGAAACCTCACTGGAGATATTCTCTTGGTTACATATACACTAAAAAAACTATAGATTTGGGACAAGTTTCACAAAACCTGAGAAGTTTAGCCATTTTGAGATAACGCCCAAAATTTTTGGAAATGTCACTTAATCCCCGACTTCTTGGGGGTTATCTGAAAAGGTTTTGGGGGTTAAGCGACACTTCCAAACTTTTCTTGCAGTTATGTCAAAATGGGCCAAACTTCTTTGTGGTTTTGTGATATTTTCTCAGTTATTTAATCAGAGAAATATATTGGATTAAGACCCACTAACTTGCATGTATCCTGAAACAGAGTACGGTGTGGCAAACAAAGCTTCAACTGCTGGAGATGTATATAGCTATGGAATTCTTCTGCTGGAGATGATTACTGCAAAAAGACCCACTGATAATGATTTTGTAGGAGGCCAAAGTCTTCACAAGTTTGTGGAGATGGCGTTCCCTGAAAAAATCACAGATGTTGTTGATGCTCGTCTTCTCCTACAGAAAGATGGCAGAGTGAATGATGATGACAATGATGGCGATCATCATTATGATGACGATGATGATTGGAGTATGAATGACACAAGCGTTATCGAATGTGCTGCTTCGATGCTTAGGCTTGGCATCTTGTGTTCAAATGAATATCCAGAGGAGAGAATAGAGATGGGAGATGTCATTAAAGAATTGCACAAGATTAGGGATATGTTCTTAAGAAATGGAACTCCTGAAGAGAGAAGCAGAGATCAGATGAATTGTGGAGGTCCATCTTTAGCTTTTCAAGCAACAAACGACTGATACTTATTATTGAAAATGTTTAAGAGTTGGTTTGTACAGTTTGCGGAATACTATCATGATAGGAAGTGAACGATGTATATTTCCATCAAAATTATTGTTAAGATGAATCAGTAAACATTAAGAGTAAAAACAACGTTAAGAGCTAGCCGTTTCGAACTCTAAGACCATTATGCTCTTTTGCTAAGGGTTAGCAGGGAATTTTTTGCTGTGGAGGTATTAAATCTTGAGATGCAAGTAGCAGCCAAGAGCTTTTGTCATAATGAGAGCAATTCAAACCAATATCGAACCCTACGTCTTCTGCCTCGGACTAGCCAGGGTTCTGGAGGAAATTTTTTTCTTAGAAGTTCACAGATAACCTCAAAACTTTTGCATTTTTCTGAATATATACTCGGATAGGGTTAATTGCATATTAGTGTCTTGGATCAGCCTTTACTGCCAAATAGTCCCTTAAATCACATCATTTGCTTATTCGGCCCTTAAATCTTCAATTTTAATGATAATCCACCCCTCTTGTCAGGTGGGTTTTTTTTGTTAATTACAGACATAAGTCATCTACCTCATAGACTCAACCCCTCAGATGTCATCTAATAAAATCTCACGAGCTCCCTAGGCATGTCATTTACCAAGGAAAAAGACATCCGTAGGGTCATGGCGGAATTCACAACAATATTAGGTGCCCTGTTGCCTTCTCTGTAGATATTCGAAACTTTAGTCGAATGTATAGAATTCAGCATGGCGCGCACATCCTTAATCAAAATCATGGCGGTGTTGAGCTCGACACATCAGGTGATCGCCTGAATAATAATATTAGAGTCTCCTTCAACACACAACTTCCCTTCATGTAATATTGAGTAAATCCCACCTAGTCTCTTCCGCAATCCTTTCAATTCTGGGATGGTGATAGTAGTTGTACTTAGGGGTGTCCAAAAAGCCCGGAGCCCGGACCCGGCCCGGTGTCCGGCCCGGGCCCGGGCCCGGCCCGGGCCCGGAAACCCGGGCAAAACCCGGGTCCGGGCCCGGGCCCGGGTCGCCGTTGGCGAACCCTGTCCGGGCCCGGCCCGGGCCCGGAACAGTGCCCAAAAATGGGCACTGGTTCTTCGAATGGCCGGGCCGGGCCGGACCGGCCCGGCCCGGCCCGGCCACAACGGTCACTTATGTGACCGTTGAATCCGGGCCGGGCCGGGCCAGCCCGGCCCGCTCTCTTATACAATCTTATACTATCTCATACTAATATACTATCCTATAATCTTTTGTATTTTCTAATACTTCCAACAAATGGCTTCTGGGTCTGATTATGAAGAGCAACATGCAACTCCTACCGATCCAGAGATGAGTCCTCCTACAACAACTCCTCATCCTACCGGTGTTAATCCTGAATCTGGTGGCGACGAATCTACGGCACCAAGAGCTCCAAAAAGGCCGAGGTCTGATGTATGGAATTTTTTTGAGAAGATAGACGTCACCAAGGATGAACACGGTAGGATCATCTCTCAGAATGCGAAATGTGCGTTGTGCGGCCAGATATTCAAAGCTCATCATAAGAGCGGCACCAACCATCTCAAACGGCATATTGAAAAACACAACAAAGGCCAAAATCTACAAGGTGATATCCGGCAGTCTATGCTTTCCCAATCATCCTCTTCAGGTACCCTCGGCAGTTGGAATTATGACGCTGCCCGAGCCCGGAAATGCGTAATCAGGTTTATTGTTCTTAAAAACCTTCCTTTTAAATTAGTAGAAGATGATGAATTTGAAGATTTATTTAGAGATGGTTTTTATCCTGCATTTACAAAATTTTCTCGTCAAACCTGTCAACGTGATATTTTAAAATATTATGTTGAGGAACAGGGAAAAATAATTTCTTATTTTAAAAATTTAAACTGCAAATTTTCTTTAACTTCTGATATTTGGTCATCTAGAGTGCAAACTGGTTATTTATGTATAACAGCACACTGGATTGATGAAAGTTGGAAAATGTTTAAAAGAGTTGTTTCTTTTATTGCAATTGAAGAGTCACACACTGGTATTAATGTTGCAAATTTAATTGTTGAAGAACTTATGAAACTAGAAATTGATCAAAGAATATTTACTCTTTCACTAGATAATGCAAGTAATAATAATGTAGCTGTTGATTTTCTGAAAATAACTTTGTCATTGCCATGTCATGGTGAGCTTTTTCATGTTAGATGTATCTGTCATATTTTAAATTTAATTGTTCAAAGTGCATTTTCTGAAATTAAACCCATGATAGAAAAAGTTAGAACAGTTACTAATATGCATAATGCTTCTGAAATGAGAATTAAAAGATGGAAACAATGTTGTAAAAGAAAAAATTATAAGCCTAGACTAATTCCAAAAGATGTTGACCATAGGTGGAATTCCACCTATGCAATGTTATCTGTAGCAATAGAATATAAAGAAATTATAAATGATTTTATAAATTTTTATGCTTCTAGTTCTAGCTCTGGTAGTGCTTATGGAATAACTGAAGATGAATGGACAGTTATATGTAAATTAAATGAGATGTTACAAGTTTTTTATGATGCTACTATGTTATTATCTGGTTGTTATTATCCAACTATTACTTTAGCTGCTTTACAAATTTTAAATATTCAAAAAAATTTTACAAAATATCGTATGGATGATATTTTTGGAAGTATAATTTTTGAAATGGAGAGTAAATTTAATAAGTATTTTAGGCCTATTCCTCATATTTTTGGTATTGGTGTTCTTATTGATCCATGCTTGAAGGAAATTGGCCTTCGAAGTTTGTTACAATCATTGTATGGTGGACAGATTATAGACTTAGATGATGGATCCACCCTTACTGCTACTACTCATTATTTAGCTATTAGAAATTATTTTCAAACCTTATATGATGAGTATGCAGCTAGATATGGTGTAGCTACACAACAGTCTTCAGCTTCGGCACCTTCAGCTTCGAGCACAGGTCGAGGTAAAAGTGTAAGTTTTGATAGGTATGCAATGGTAGCTGAACTAACTGGTGGATCTGGAACTTCATCAGGATTAGATGTTTCTGAAATAGATGAATATTTTTCTGCTTCTTTAGTTAGATGTCAAGGAAATGCTTTAGATATTTTGCAATGGTGGAAAGTATATGGATCAGTTTCATATCCTATACTTTCCACCATGGTTCGTGACTTACTATCAGTGCAGGTTTCGACTGTAGCCTCGGAATCCGCTTTCAGCACAGCAGGACGTTTGATCGACGACCACAGGACATGCTTAGATCCGTATACTGTACAAGCGGTGATGTGCTTACAGGATTGGTGGAGATACGAGAAGCGAACACAAGGCATCGAACGGATTGCTATGATTGAAGATAAATTTGAAGAGTTGGGACTAGCAGATAGATATAATGATTAGATAATATTCATAAAATTGTAATTTTTATTTCTTAGCTTTAAATTTGAATTAAATTATTTCGAAAAAAGTTGCAAATGATAGTGATATGGGTGAGTAGGTGCCAACCTAGTTGGGATGTACTCATCTATTGTGATGCGACGAATTTCGAAATAAATTTATACTTGTAAAGGATTTACCGATTATTAATAAAGAAGTTATTTTTATCATTTTTTGTACTTGTAATTTATGTCATTTCATTTCAAGTTATTAATAAAATTTATGACATTTTTTATAATAATTTATAATTTATGGTTTTGTTAAAATTTAAAAAAATAAAAAAAAACAAAATTTAAAAAAAAAAACAAACCGGGCCGGCCCGGTGTCCGGCCCGCTCAGGCCCGGGCCCGGGCCCGGACCCGGCCCGGACCACCCGGGCCCGGGTCCGGGCTTGGGTTTTGCCCGGCCCGGGCCCGGTTTTCCGGGCCGGGCCGGGCCGGGCCGGCCCGGATGGACAGCCCTAGTTGTACTGACGTATATGCCTTTTCCTAGTACTAAATTTCCACGACAGCCTCTGACAACAAAAGCAGCAGCCGCCTCACCCGATTGTACATCAAATGACCCAGATGTCAAGTGGAAGATTTACGAGCGAGCTTCTTCGCATTGCTCAATTTCAAAACTCAAATTTTTTTTGGGAATTTTATAAGCAATTTTAGTGGCTGATTTTTGTTATGCTTGGGATCCTTTGGATGAATAGTATGAATCTCATGTTGAAATAATTAGAATCTTACCTTGAAATAAAGAGAATCTTACGTTTGATGTAGTAGTGCCTAGTTCATCATGTGTTTGATATAACGCTAGCTCATGTTTAATGTAATGCCTTTCTTTTCTCCGTTTCTGAAAAATATTTATTATTTGTCCATCATCCTTGGCCATTCCTATTAAAGGAAATTAAGGTTGTTTCTAATCTTATATTTGATCTCATGCCTAGCACATCTCTCGTGGGTTCAGTTTGTTCTTCTTAATTTAGTGTTATTTGCAGTTTCACACCCCAAAATTTTACCGTTTCTTAAACTTTGATGCCATGAAGTTCCACATTTAGAATTTGATACCCTGAAGTGTGAAAAGTTCGACGCTAATATGTCCAAGAATATCGACATAGAAAAGCGAATGAAACACACATTTGAGGAAAGTGAAACGAAGTCACGGGTTTGGATGCATAAAACTGTCCATTAACGTCAACTGGAAAAGTTGGGGGTATTAAATTGTTAAAATAGAATTTTAGGGAATCTAAGTTTAGCAAGGGTGAAACTTTGGGGTATTAAAGTGCAACAAGAACCCTTAAGTTTATGACAAATTTTTGTTGCTCTTCGGTTTATCAACGAGATCAGTTTGAAAGAAATCAAAGGCCTTGGTAATGTCATTCATTGCATCTGGGGCGGGCTTAGAGATGAACAGGTGGGCAACAACTACAAGAGTTCACCGTGAACACTCAGATAAGAATAGAGTTATTTTTTATTTAAAATACGAATTGATTAATGAGTGCTAGCAAAACTATTAAGAAAATAAGGAACCATCTATTGAAGAGGAAAAGAAAATCGAACGTCAAGTGCAAACTCTAGCAACAACAAGAGACAATCTACTCCATGAATTCTCAATCAGAACGCACGTGCAGCGCATCAGGCCCTGAATCCCTGATGTGTGCTCGGTTTATAACCAACTCACAATTTTATGTGACGCGGGAGTAAAAATTAGGCTCAAAGTCGATGATAACGAT